AGCTACGCAATTGACGTAGCTCAAGTTGCGTAGCTCATTTCGGCGTTAGTCCTGCTGCGTCGACGTGCCTCCAGACACATTATTTGATACAGGCAACATCCTGCGCACGACGGTTAGAATAAACTCATTTTCCTCAGTCCCTGCCTGGCTCATACCCCCAGCCCCGCATGGCCCATACTTACCGGTTACAGAGACCGCTGGAGACAGAGACGGAAGGAGAGGATAACGCTGCCAATCCAAAGCGAGTCCTGATTCCGTTTACACTGTCTCAAGTACCGAACGAATCAAAAAAAATAGGACGCAGGGACGGTATTTTATACCATTCCATATGGTAATACAGGGTGGTGAATCATATTGGATCTTTGATTATAATAAGGCTGGCCCGATCCATATTAGGCGTTTGCGGTGTTGATAGTTAAGCATTAAGCATTAATATTCATGATTTGCAGCACTTATTTCTTAATTCCTTATCTCTTAATGCCTGTATGTAAATGTGGTCTAACAGCTTAGCCATGGCGTAGCCACTTCATTGCTAACTTCCCCAGCACTCCCAGTTTGCAGGAGCTTGCGGTCTGCTGGCCCGTTTGTGGTTACCTGTTTGTCTCTCAGAAGGAGAATGCAAAATATTGGAGCCGGGGCAGGACATCTCCTTAGATGGACGGTATTCAGCGAACTCCCAGCTGTGAGCACAACTCCTGCATCCAGGCCTCATGCTTCACTCCCCATTTCCTTACGCACACACCCCATAAATGTCCCTAGGTAAGAAGCAACACATCCCTGGTACATCTTGCACACTAGGGTCATTTTACCTTTAGTGAGTCCCAAGGTAGCCATGACAGGGTCACAGCTCAGAAGATCAGGCCAGCGCTCTACACCTTCTAGCCTGAAGATGTTCCAATTCTGTAGGTAGATGACTAATCAATTGAACATAAGAACATAAGAATGGCCGCACTGGGTCAGACCAAAGGTCCATCTAGCCCAGTGCCCTGTCTGCCGACAGTGGCCACTGCCAGATGCCCCAGGAGGAGGGAACACAACAGGGAATCCTCACACGATCCTTCCCCTGTCATCCACTTCCAACCCCTGACAGAGGCTAGGGAACCATTCCTGCCTATCCCGGCTAACAAGCCATTGATGGACCTAACCTCCAGGAATCTATCTAGCTCTTTTCTGAACCCTGTTAAAGTCCTGGCCTTCACCACATCCTCCGACATGTAGGCAAGGGTTGTTCTATTAAAAAGTCTCAGAGAGGTCACCATGCTTGTCTGTAACTTTCAAAACAATGAGTAGTCCTATGGCACTTAAGGTATGTCTACACTACAGCATTATTTTGAAATATCTAAGAAATAAATAGTTAATTCGAAATAAGTTATTTCGAAATAACGCGTCTCACACAAAATGCATTTCGAAATAGCGTTTTGCTATTTTGGAATAGCATGTCTACACTGAGTGGACGCTGAATCGTATTTAAGGCCGGCTGGAACCAGGTCCAGCAGGGTATCAGATCAGGAGTTACTTTGTGTGGCTTCTGCCTGAGGCTATCTGAGGCCTGTGCTTAAAGGGACCCTCCTGGACAGCCGGCTCTTAGCTTTTCCTGCATGCTTGCCTACCTTGATGAGGGACAACAAAGCATTTTGTCTCTGCTTGGTCTGGTTGCCCTCATTCAGGACACCACAGCTCTCTGCAACATGGAGCCGGAACTGCCCCTGGGCACTCTGGTGCTTCTCGTGGATGTGTTGCTGTGAGCCTGGGTTAAGGATTAGATGTAAATTGTTAATTATTCAATTTAAATATTGTATTTAATGCCTTTTAATGCTTGTGGGGCCTTTTAATGTTTTTTAATGCTGTTTTAATTGCTTAATACTAAATATACATATACAGATAGTGCTCTTGAATTGAGTGCAATAAAACATGTTAAAGGTATATTTAAGATACTGTGAAAGACTCTTTTGTTTTGTGAATACTGAACAAAATGGGTAGTGTGATACGGCATGATCAACAGGATCACAGCACCCCCTTGTGACAATGTCCCATCGCACAGCCTTAATATTAACTAGATTTATCCGGCGTTGCTCGGGTCCTTAACTCAAACACGTTTTGTTTTTCTTCATTGAAATCATTGCCCTGGGAATGCGGGGTTCAGTAGGCAGGCTGGCCCAGAGAGAGAGGCCCACCCCAACCTTCTCTTACCCCAGCAGCTTGGGGCGAGGTAAGAAGCATCTCTCCATGGCTGCTGCAGCTGCAGCAGACCCAGCTGGGCCATGCAGACACACAGACACACTCTCTGAAATATACAGTAGATAGCTGTTTCTTTCTCCACCTCTGAGCCCCAGCTGGCCCTATGGCATTATAGCTGTCCTGGTGCCCATCTCTGACTCCTTGCTGCCCCCATGTGGTCATTCTGCAGTATAACCATCCCTGCTACCAGACCAGTCCCTTGTCATTTTATGAGAAACAATCAAATTCCCAGCACTTCCCACAGTCCTGGGACAACCAAATCCTGACTTTGCTGTATCTTTTCCTCATTAATCACTCCATATGTCGTTTACTATGGAGCTGTCTACCAGCTTTTTCTTTGGTGTAAGATTGAAGGTGTCTCTGACCTGCGATGAGGGACTTATTCCTTGGGACTGGGAGTAACCTGAATATTTGTCTCAGGGGGTACCCATGTTCGTCTGTAACTTTAAATACAGCGAGTAGTCCTGTGGCACCGGAGAGACTCCCACAACTATATAGGATCATGAGCTGTCACGGGGGGGAGCGGAGCAGTGAAATTACAGCGCTCCCAGCCAATTCAGGGTTTGTGCCCCGCTTCCTCACAGTCTGTCCAGAGATCAGCAGCAACGCAGACAGCATGACAGAGGAACACAACTGCACCATAGAACTTCTTAAGAGAAGCTGGTCATGGGCGGGCTGTACCTTGGGAACCCCATGGTGAAAGGGCTCCAAAGGTGGGTCACTTACCTAACCCCAGCCCCTCTTGCACCACAGCAAATTTCAGGATTATCTGAGTAAATGGAGAGTTTTCCGATCCCTGACACCAGAAGAGTCGTCTCAGTCTCGCCCGGCGGGGAGGGTCCCTTCTGGGAGTCAAGGAGTTTGCGGGGGGAGCTGCCTTCTGGGAACTCTAAAATGGGGGTTTGGTTCCCAGGCGCAGCTCCTGTCTTCTAGGGGAGCAGAGCGTGGGGCTGGGGCCTCTGTCCCCCATTGCGAGCTCTGTGCCCCACCCCTGGGGATCCGGGCTGTCTGCTCAGGGGATCCCCACCCAGGGAGTGGGGATGGGAGTTCTAGAGGTGGAGAGAGGAACTCCTGGACCCAGTACAACTCAATCTGTGCCATAGGCTGCCAGCAGGGGAACCAGCCCTGACAAGGGGCTGCCCTTGGAGACTCAGCACCCCCACGGGATGACGTGAGACCCCCAGGCATATAAATGGAGATGGGAGACCCGGCAACTGACAGAGATGTCAGGCCGCAGGATGCTCTCAAGCTTTATTGGCAGCAATCGCAAGGCAGAGACTTGGCAAAAAGCGGCACCCGCAGAATGGAACAAGCCCAAAGCAGCCCCCCTTGATGGAAATCCATGCACTGAGATCCCCATGGCCCCACCTTGGCTATTGGCCATGCCCAGGAATCCGCCCCACCATCTGAGTAAAGGGCTCCCCCATCAGATCCAGCCCCAGGATACAGTCACCAGCCACCTTCCCTTTCCCCCTGTCCCGGCCTTCTGCAGGGATGGAGGCTGGGTTCTAGATTGGAATGCTGGGTGGATGTGGGTTCTAGAGTGGTGTTCTGGTGACTGTGGGTTCTAGATTGGCATTCCAGGGATGGGGGGGTCATGTTCTTATTTGGAGCTGGACACAGGGGGCAGGGGATGAAGGTTTAGAATACATCATGATGCGCACTCTGGGGGTGGCAATTCTGGATTGGAGCAGACTTGGGGAGAGGGGCAGCCCAGAACTGGACAAAGCCAGGGAATGGTGTTCTTGGCCAGAGAACAACCGGAGAAGGGAAGTGTTTTTTGCATTGGCACTCACACACCAATGGGCTCTAGCTTGGAGTTTTTAGCACATCCGGGAATGGGGTTCTAGACTGGAACATCCTCTTAGGGGTTCTAGGTTGGACTGTGATCATGTGCCAGGTTCTAGATTAACATTTGCCCGAGAATATGGTTCTAGATCGATGTTCCCTCTAATATTTTCCATCCATGTGTGGAATAAAAATGTTATGTGCACCAAAGCATGTTGAAATGGGCACCACCAATAGAAACAAAAAAAAACTAACAGTGGGCACTTGCTAATCAGCGGGGCAGCATTCGAATCTCTCCTGAGCTGCAGCACAAGAACCTAGCTTACAGGGAACACTCTTCTAGATTGGAGCACACTTGTGGATTGGGGTTCTAGAGCAGGGGCACACCGAATGGGGTTGGTTCTAGATTGTAGCTTGCAGCCTGGTTGGGACGTGTTTCTTTTCCACTCACCCAGCCAGAGAAAGGCCAGTGGTGGAGCGAACCCCCCGCAGTTTGTAATCTGGGAAGGAACTATAGTGACAATTTAGGTGGATAAGGCTCAAACTGATCGGAGATTCTAAATTTGTCCTCCCTATCCCAGGTTACAAGCTGGTGAAACAATAAGATTCCCCATCAGGAGGGTGTGCAGGTGCCGAGTGACAGTCACACTTCAAATCAGGAAATGCAATTAAAATAAGCTTTATTATCACGGGAATCACTGTGGCAAATATTACAAAGAATATAGCACTGAGTATCCAGATTAATTGAATCTCCTCTGTGGATAACATGAACAAAATCTATGTTATAAAACTGGACTTATCTAAGTGTGCAGATCTTAATTACCTAATAGACTTTCATAGTCACAGGATCTTTTTTTTTTTTTTTGCTCAACAAGTTTTGCTGCTATTTGGGGGTGTGAGGGATTCTGAAAAATCAAAAAGGGGGCATGATGCCGAAAAGATTGGGAACCACTCGTCTAGACAGAACTGGGTCCTGCCATGAGGGCACGGGACTGGATTCGATGACCTCTCACGGTCCCTTCCAGTCCTAGTGTTCTATCATCCTATGATTCTTGGACTGAACAAAGAGAAGGGCGGGAAATACTGTGGTTAAGTACCAAGAAACCTGTTCTCTCAAGTTTTCCTGCACTTCGCAGATTTGATTGATGTTTATTCCTGCAATATTGAGTAATGGTCACGAATCAACTGTAAGTTTTACCTGCAAAGGCCTTTCACAACCCTTCCGCAATGCCTCTCTCAAGAAAAACACGAAAAATAAAAGAAATCAATCTTAACCCTGTACTTATCACACTGCTCTTGCTAAAGCTGATTCATACAGGATACATGAGGTCCTGTAGGCCTTGCATTACTGGCATACCGTTAAATATTTCAAGAAAACGATAGGATAGGAAAGATATATCTTAGCAGGTGACAGGTTCCTGGCTCTGCTTCATCATCTACCTCTTCCCTGCCAGGCAGGGGTTGTTCTGAGGCTCCGCTACCGCGCAGTCCTTGCAGCCGTTGTTGTCACAGCGCAGCAAGGGGACATCGCGCAGTCGGTGCCAGGCCTGTAGCAGGGCCTGGCGGGTCACTTCAGGCTTCAGGTCATAGTTGAATATTTGCTGGAAGACGAAGGCCTTGTAGTTGCTGTCGAGGGAGCGGAAGGCGTCGCTGGTCATCTGCACGATGTTGGCGCGCCCGGCCTCACGCAGACACTTGGCAGAGCAGGGTGAGTTGAAGGTGAATAAGATGAGGCAGCTGTTCTGGCCGTAGGTCCTGGCTTTCAGCTGGGCCACGAGGCTGTTCTGATCTCCGTGGAGCAGACGCCACTCGCTGTGCTCCGTGTAGTTCCCCTTGGGGGTGACCACGTTCTTTGGCCGGGCGGCCACGATGTTCCCACGGGGCGGGTTGTACAGGTCTCCAAACTGGCGGATCTTCTGTCTCATGTCTGCTAGCTGGTCCCGGGGCAGATAGGTGGACACATCCTGGGGATTGCTGCAAGTGCCATGGGGCAGTGCGGCAGCGAAGGCGTATTGCTTGTTAACTCCCCCATTACTGAAAGAGGGCACAACACAGAGGGGTCAGAGGTCACCATGTGAGCCGGCAGGTGCCAAGCAAAAGGAGGAGGAGGAGGAATAGGTCCTAAATAAAACATCTCAGCTCTGGGCTCCTTCTCCTCCCACATTTCCCAGAATGAACATAAAGAACATAAGATCGGCCATACTGGGTCAGACCTAAGGTCCATCTAGCCCAGTATCTTGTCTGCCAACAGTGGCCAATACCAGATGCCCCAGAGGAAGGGAGCACCACAGGTAATCATCATGTGATCCCTCCCTTGTCATCCATCTCCACACAAACAAAGGCCAGGGACACTATTCCTACCCATCCTAGCTAATAGCCAGGGCTCGACAAATAATATAATCTACTCACCCGTGGTGAGTAGATTACAACCCAGAAGAGCTGGCACAGAGAGATCTGTGCATGTGCAGAACGATCAGCACATGTGCAGAGTGCAGAACCACACGAAATCGCGTGGCTGGCGAGCGGGACTTGCCGCCGCTTGGCGAGTCCTGCTAATAGCCATTGATGGACCTAACCTCCATGAATCTATCTAGCTCTTTTTTGAACCCTGTTAAAGTCCTAGGCTTCACCACATCCCTTGGCATGGAGTTCCACAGGTTAACTGTGTGCTAAGTGAAGAAAAACTTCCTTTTGTTTGTTTTAACCTGCTGCCTATTCATTTCATATGGGGTGTGTCTAGACTACAGAGTTTTGTTGACAAAAGTGGACTTTTGTCAACAAAACTATACCTGCGTCTACACTACCGCTGAAGTTCTGTCGACAGAAGGTGTTATTGAATGTAAACTGTCCTTTGCGTCTACACTACCATGTCGACAAAGCAGCTTGCTTTGTCGACAGAACTCAATGTAGTCTAGACGCTCTTTGTCGACAGAAGCCTGTAGTCTAGACGTACCCTAGGAGTTTAGATAGGTTATTGTCCTTTTTCTTCTGCAGGGTAGTAAAGTGACTATTGTAAGTGGCTTTTCTAGTTTTTATGAAGTCCAGCCATGTGCAAGTTTGTGCAGAAGCTTTGTTTTTTATGAGTCTTTAATTTTGAGAGTTCCTTCTTAATTTTTTTTCTATTTGTTGTATAGGATGCTGATTAGGTGGTTCCTCAGTTTCTTTGAGAGCATGTGGCATAATCTTTCATTGTAGTCTGTGAGAAATGTAGATTGTAATGGATTTTGCACTTGCAGTCAATTCATCTGTTTGCAGTTGGAGAGTAAGATGATGTCTGTCTGTATCTGTGCAAGTTTCATTATGAAGTTGATGGATTTCCATTTCAGATGGCTAAATGAGGTGCCCTGCATGTTAAAAAATCTCAGAGAGGTTGCTGTGTTAGTCTATAACTTTAAAAACATTGAGTGGTCGACACAGTAGTCAGGATGTGGGCGTCCTATAGTTTTATAGAGGCAATAAGATATTCGCTGATTCCTAACATTCTATTTGCTTTTTTGACTGCCGCTGCACACTGAGTGGACGTTTTCAGAGAACTATCCACAATGACTCCAAGATCTCTCTCTTGAGTAGCTGTAGCTAAATTAGTTCACATCCTATTGTATATATAGTTGGGATTATTTTTTCCAATGTGCATTACTTTACACTTATCAACATTATATTTCATTTGCCATTTTGTTGCCTGATCACTTAGTTTGGTGAGATCTTTGTGAAGCTCTTCCCAGTCTGCTTTGATCTGAGCTACCTTGAGCAGTTTGGTATTATCTGCAAATTTTGCCACCTCACTGTTTACCCCTTTCTCTAGATCATTTATAAATAAATAATAAAGGTATTGTTTACTCCTCGTAGGACAAGAACGAGGCATCACCCAATGAAATGAAGAGGCAGTAGATGTGAAACAAACACAAGGAAGCATTTTGTCACGCAGCACACAGTCAACCTGTGGAACTCCTCGCCAGAGCATGTGGTGAAGGTCAACATTAAAACAGGATTCAAAAAAGTGCTAGATAAATTCATGGAGGATCTGTCCCTCAATACTTATTAGCCAGGATGGGTAGGAATGGTGTCTCTGTTTGTCAGAAGCTGGGAATGGGTGACAGGGAAGGAATCACCTGATGAGTCCCTGTTTTGTTCTTTCCCTCTGGAGCACCTGGCATCGGCCACTGATGGAAGACAGAATCCTGGGCTAGATGGACTTTTGGTCTGACCTCAGCATAGTCATGCTGATGTTCCTACTTCTTCTGGGCTTCCTCTCCCCAGGGCCCCCAGAATCACCCCTAGAATGGAGATGGGGTGTGATCTAATGCAGAGGACGGGGCATCCCTGCCAGGTTGGCTGCTCTCAGCCCTTATTTTGGTGTCTCTGGAGCCTGGCACGGTAGCAGCCCCCTGCTCTCAGGCAGGGTCTGGGCAGAGCCAGGCACTGTGGGGCTCCCTGACCTGCCGGGCCAGCCTGCCAGCTGGAGGGACACAGCCAGGGCCATTCCCTGCTGCTCGTCCCCATTGGGCGACAGGGGCAGGGACGGGAAGAGAGAACCCCAGGCCGGTCACTCACAGATTCACATAATCCACGATCCCTCTAAGCTCATCTGGGTTGATGCTCCCGGCGGTCTCTGGCCCGAAGCAGAGGAGAAGAGGCAGCAGCAGGAGTCCGGCCCTGGCCATCCGTCCCGGCACCTGCACAGATCCCCACGGTGTCAGTGTCAAACTCTGGGCACAAACCCAGACCCCCCCACACACATCTCCCAGCCCCAGCCATGCTACTGACAGGAAGGGGGCAGAGGTCTTGTAGAAAGTCTTATTTCTTATTTGTAGTGATATTTTAAGCATTCAAGTTTTAATATTTTTTAAAATTATTTTGAAGTAGAACTAGATTTAGATTTTTATAGTTGCTATTGTTATAGAAATGATTTTGAATTATTTGATTTAGAAGTATTGTAGAAATAGACTTGGATTATTTTGTTTTTACAGTAGCCATTATAATATAACATAGTGGAAACATGTCATGATTTGCTTTTTTTTATTATTATTTTGTTTGTAAATCCTCGTTCATGTTTTTGTTGTACAAGAGAGAGGAATGTGTGAGAGATATGGATGAAGGACATCAGCAAAAGCTCATTTTTTGAGGAGTAACATTAGTTCGGACTAATGGGTTTAGTCCGAACTAACACGTCCCGGCGCGCACTTCCTGGTTCGAATCAGCTGTGATTTGAACTAGCGCGCCGGCGAGATCATGTTAATGGAGCGCGGGATATTTAAATCCCCGCTTCATTAACTAGTTCGATTGTCTCCATTTGCATCCCTAGTTCGAACTAGGAATGCAGTGTAGACATACCCTTAGAGATTAACGAAAATATATAGAATCGTGAGCTTTCCCACTTCATCAGATGAATTGGAATGGAACTAACAGAAAGCAAGAGATACATAGAACAGCAGAAAAAAATACCTGTCAAATGTCGGACCCATGTTAATGAGGCTAATTAGTTGAGCCGGATGTGTCCCATTCATAAGAACAGCCATGCTGGGTCAGCACTAAGATCCCACTCTATCAGCTTCATTTAGCATGGACACACCAATTGACTATTCTTTTCTCATTTTTTTCTACTTTCCTTTCCTTCCCCATCCCCTCTCTTTCTCTGCTATTTATTTGGAACCCGGACCCCTTAAACTCCAGTCCTCTGACGAAGTGGGTTGTGCTCTCGAAAGCTCATGATCCCATCTAAGGGATCATGTTAGTCTTTGTTAGTCTCTAAGGGCGCCGCAGGACAGTTAGTTGTTTTTTAAGCTGTTTCTATGACAGACTAACACGGCCCCCCTTTCAGACGCCTGCCAAAATAAACCCCTCAGCTGCAAACAACCAGAGGAGGTGCAGGGCAGGGCTTCCCGGACAGGCGGCCCACCTTAAAACTGGACTTCAAGCGGGGTCCCCCATGAACCTGTCACGGCCGCGTGTGGGCCCCAGATTATCTTCAAAATGGGCACTAAGGGGTTGATGATTTCCAAAAATGTTAAATTATTTTTCTGCCCAGAAATGCAATAATTGGGGTTAGTCCCTTTGTTTTCAGCCATTCCCCCCTTTATGTCTGGGTGAAGGGGTGCGCCCGGACAGTTTGGTAATTGCGCCTTCTATTCGGCAAAGAAAACCCAGAAAATACCAGACACGTAAAATGTCACGTCCGGGTTCAGGGGTTGATGATTTCCAAAAATGTTAAATTATTTTTCTGCCCAGAAATGCAATAATTGGGGTTAGTCCCTTTGTTTTCAGCCATTCCCCCCTTTATGTCTGGGTGAAGGGGTGCGCCCGGACAGTTTGGTAATTGCGCCTTCTATTCGGCAAAGAAAACCCAGAAAATACCAGACACGTAAAATGTCACGTCCGGGTTCGGTATTCTCGGCTTTCCTCGGACAGAACCCCAGTGGGGACATTTATCCCCTGCCA